GGGTAAGAGAGATGTGATGATGTGTGGAGAAAGCAGAGAGAGAAAGGAGAGGATAGAGACGGGGCGGGCGGGGGAGAGGGCACAAAGAGAATGGAGTGAGGGGAGAGGAGCGAGGTGAAAAGAGAGAGGAGATTGGGGAGAGCGATGAGAGAACAGTTGAAGGAGAGAGGGAGGGAAAGGGGTGGGGGGGGTGGGGGGGGAGCTAGAGAGCTATAATGAAACAAAGGAGAGCAGATAGGGTACAGAAAGGAGAGGGAGAAACGATAGCAGAAGGAGTACAATTGTTAGGAATTTTCTAGCTTGTTTGCACTTTTATCAATCAGATAGGTTTCGATGGTCTGTGGTTGACGGCTCTCACTCAGACCTTCAAGTATCGGTGGTTTTGAAGTTTTCGTGATAGTGTCATGGCATCTGGCAAGGTAACTACATCCTGTTTGGCAGACGTGTCAGGTCAAGAATCTCGTGAGTCTAACATGGATCGCAGTTTCCGCCTTTCTGCCGAGTGTTCATAGGCAACCTTGCTGCTGAAAAGACTAGCGTGCATGAAATCGAGAGAATATTTTCCAAACATGGGAGATTAGCTGAGCCGCCTGTGCTCCGAAGGAGTTTCGGGTTTGTGCAGTACGATGATCCCCGCGCAGCGCAGGCAGCCATTGAGAAGGAGAACGGAACTGTGATTGGAGGGCTGCGAATCGATGTGAACATGGCTGACAATCGGGCCGTGAGGAGCAAGGAGGAGAGGAGGGCAGATCGAAACGCAGGCAACAAGAGAGAGCGCGAGGAAAGAATGCCTCCTCGCGGCGACAGTCGCAGGCACAAAGGCGATGACTTCTCACGATCAGAGTTCCGCGGTCGCGACAGGGACCCGCGAGGCGACTTTCGGTCGGGGGGAGGGGGAGGCTCTCGCGATCCTCGGGCTCCCTTCGAGCCTCCCAGTAACCTGATTGATGTTTTCGTTGTGCGCGTGGATAATGCAGGTCGAAGTTACTGTCTGTTTGTTGAAGAAAATATTACCAACTTGAACCTCCTGTACGAGATGCGGGAAGTTGACCTTCCAGATTTGCCTGAGGCTCTGAAAACTGCTGCGGAGAAGTCCCAAGTGAAGCACATCATGGTGGTGGGCGGGCGTCATGAACATACCGAGACGGTCACGTTGGGCACCAGACTGCCGAGCGGCAAGGTAGAAGGTAAGCGTTCTTCCCCCTCCCTCTTGGCAGCAGCGACGCGTGCTTCCTCTTCTTTCTCACTGAGTAGCACTTGTCCGCAGAGTTCCGAGAGATGCCAGTCCAGCAAGCCTTCCGGCAGCTCGCCGGTCAAGTTGGCCCCAGTCCGTCTGGGCACGCATCCATGTCAGGTGGAGGCCAGTCCGGTCGAGGCAATCCTTACGGCCCTCCGATGCGTGACCCTCGCCCCCCTGTCCCGGGTCCCAACCATGGCGCCTCTCCCCTTCCCATGCAGACCGGCCGTCCGATGGGTCCTTCGGGACAAGGTTCTAGTGTGAGAGGAGGGCCTCTCCCGATGGGAGGGAGCAACGGTCCCGTCCCTGGTCCTTACTCGGCGAGCTCGACGAGCATGCCAGGGGGTCAAAGTCAGCCTAAGATGGGGTCGGGCATGCAACCAGGTGCGGTGAATGACATGCTTCAGAGCTTGATCCAGCAGGTTCAGAACAGCGGAGGCATCTCAGCCCTCTCCAACGAGTCCACCCGCGCGCAGGTGTTGCAGGCGCTGCAGTCTAACCCCCAACTCGTCCAAGCCCTGGTGCAGAAGATGCAGTCGGGGCAGCTCCCTTCTGCCGCTTCCTTCCTCTCCTCAGCTGCTTCGGTCCCGGGGATGCAACCCTCGTCCTCTGTCGGGGGCCTCGCGCCTGCCCCTCACGCCCATCCCGTCGCCTCCAGCTATCCCGGCGGCAGCTACAGTGCGGGTCTCCCTCCTCAGCCGAGTGCGTCTGCGTCGGGGATGGCAGGTCAGAGCATGGGGATGTCGTATGGGGGCATGGAAGGTCAGCTCATGGGCGGCGGGCAGTCGGCGTCTCCCAGTCTGGACGTGAATAGCTTGAAGGATCTCCTCGCAGCCACGGCCCCTCTGCTCGGGCAGGGCAGCGTCCTCCCCCAGTCGTCGCAGCCCATGCAGCAAGGATCGTCGCAGCTGCAGCCTAGCAGTCGCGCTTACGAGTCGGAGACAAGCTCTGCCTCAGCCCCGAGCAACGCAGACCTTCTCAGCTTCTTGACTCGCGGCAGCTCCGGGGCAGGAGCCAGCAGCAGCGACGCACAGGGCTACATGTCCCAGCAGCCCTCCCAGCAGCCGTCGGCCTCACAGGCAGGTCGGTCGTCTTATCCTCCCATTGTGCCCTCAGGGCGGCCGGGAGGTGCCGGTCCCCCCGGAGCTCAGAGGTTTGGTCGCTAACGCCCTCTCCTGCTGCCCGTCCTAGGCAGGTCAAGCTCGTCGCCCTCCCCTCACCCGCACCCTCTCGCGTCCGCTGCCTCCTCCTCTTTGTCGGCTTCACAGCAGGTTTATTGAACAAGTAAAGCTCATAGACCGACCTCTCATCAGTTTCCGTCCTCCTCGCCTCCCTCCTCCTCCTCCTCCTCCTCCTCCTCGCCTTCTTGCATGAGGTCAGAGGATAGGCAGCATTGACGCGAGCTCGCTCACCCTTTCCTTCCTGTTCATTCCGTCCAAGGTCAGCGGGACAACAGGAGCACAGCTGGACTCACCTCGTCGTCTTCCTCGTCGTCGCCGCAGAAGAAGCGGAAGGGATCCTGAGGAGGGTGAGGGAGGACGAGAAAAGAAGAGGCACGAAAACCTTCCAGATCTCATCGCGGAGAGTCGTGAACATCGTCCCCCTCCTCCTCCTCCTGCTCCTCCTCGAACCTGCAAGGAGTGAGGTGCTGGCACTGGCGGTAGAAGAGAAGGGCTGGAGGGCCTCAGGAGAGCCAAGAGAGAAGGAGGAGGGAGAAGAGAAAAACTTGAAGGAGGGGAGGAGAATAATTGGAGGAGAGGAGTCAGAGATAGACCCTGGGAAAAATCTCGTCTCATCTTCATCATGCTGGATGACTACCGGGGTGTCGACCATGATCAAGGAGACCTGTTTCTGCCGATTGCTCCCCTTCATCTCCTCTACGCCTCCTGCAAGCTGAAGATTGCACATTATCGAACATTAGACGCTTCAGGCGAAGGGCCATGTCGACGAAGAATGTAATTTTCCAGTGCGATACTCAGAAGCGCGACTTTTGCGGGTGAGTGTATTGCAGCGTGTGCACAGCTCTGCTGACGAATCGTGTAGGGAGAACAGAGAGACGTCGAGGCCGATTCATTTCAGCTCACAATAGATGATGTTTCCGAGAGTGAAAATGAAT